GCAAGGTGCAACTAACGAAGTGATCGGTGGGTGTAATTTACTGTGAGTGGAAGTACAAATATATGAGCATATATACTTCAAGACACACTATGTATGTATGCAGCTAAAATATTTACATCAGCATGTCCCTTTACATAACAGATTACTGATGCTAGCCAACATGCATTACAGGGTTATCGTGCAAGTCACAGCAGGCATATAAAGCACACACACATACAGACACACGTACACACAGGGGGTGGATCACCGGATCCACAAAGCGTGACTGTCGGCACAAACGTACATATGCATAGGTTGCACCCACACGCGTACAATCTGTACGAGTTTAAGAGAACACAGACTGGCAAAACTCAAGTGCACACATTCACACTGGCACTGTGGAGTGACAGTGAAGTGTAAGCGTGGTGATTATAGTCTCAGAAGATGAGAGGAGTGAGGCGGAGAAAGGAGTGGAGGAGTGTTGAAGGGGGACAGGAGAGGAGGAGGAAAAAGGAAGGAGAGAAAAAAATACAAGGACGTTTAATATGCACAAAGCCTGGTTGCTGTCTTTCTGGTGAAACAATAAGACACCGCTAATCACTGCCTGCTACTTTTTTTTCCTTTTAACTCTAGTCATTTATTCTTCACATTTGGTTTTTGTTTGAGGCTATGAACTCACTGAATATTTTTCCCCATTTATTTGTTTGTCCATGTGTAACAAACTGCATTTTAATGGGACTGAATTTCATCTTTTCAAAACACGGATTCACATCTGACCTACTAAGATACACACCGATTACAATGTTTGTGATTTACTGGGAGAGACCTATTGCAAATTAGCACTTTAAATAAGGCTATCATTCCTGCGCGATCACATTACTGCGTGATCGTGCAAGCTTTCACTGCAGTTGAACTGTATCTGACTGACTCTTAAAAACTACCAACTCTCAGCTTGTGTTTAGCACTCCCAGATGTTATCTGTCATACTAATGTCAAGTGTTGGAAAACTTGTCATGGGCACTCGCATCGCATTTCATTCTATCAGTGGCATCTGCTAATATTACTCTGCAAGTACAGAATTGGCTCACAGTAGCTGCTGTGGTGCATCATCTATCGTCTACCATCTGTGCCTTTGTTATCAATCCATCATCTACGTGGGACAGTTTTATTATTAATATTGTGATATCAAGTATTGAAAGATCTATTGAAATATAACACATATGTCATTACTGGGCTTTTTTTCTTGCCTTGTTTCTGCTTAAAACTCATTTGGCATTGTGAGGTGAGGTAATAAAAAATAAAATAAAAATAAAAAAAAAACTCATCATAGGATTTACAGACGGAGGATAACTGAGGATGAGATACACGACCTCCCCTGAAATGAACATGGTCTTTTATCAGGTCTTTTATCAGAGCTTTATCAGACCAGCAGATAACACTACAGCAAAAAATTGTGTATGACAGATGACCTTCCCATGGCAGAACACTCATAACAGATGCTCTTCTCAACTGCCCTGCATAAAAGAGGACACAACTGATAACTGTCTATACAGTCTGCAGTGTGTGTGATAACCTTGTGTTGTGTGTGTGTGTGTGTGTGTGTGTGTGTGTGTGTGTGTGTGTGTGTGTGTGTGTGTGTGTGTGTGTGTACCAAGGAAGAAGTCAGCTATCAGGTTCAACTGTACGACAGTATTTTTAGTACTGCATATGAGGGGTCAGCGTAGTTTAACAAGAACTATGGAGATTAATGTAATTTTATTTACGTATTGCATGTAGTGTATCAGAATAAAACTGATATGTAACTGACAGTTAAAAACCCGGTTTATAAAAGGTACCTTCTCTCATGTATAAACGGTGGGAGATTTGCCAGAGCTACTGCAACACTAAACATTTACTTAAATAGATTTACTGTAAGGCCGAGAGCTCCATTTGTTTTCATAGTTGTGTTTTACGTATTTAGCTAGGTAGAAACTATTCTAAGTAGGGACAGCTGATGTAGTGGCAGATCATATTATAAGATTATCATGTGCATTTTTGTTATCTAGTTACAAGTTTAATATATTTTCACTCCAAAATTCATCTTTTGCTCAACTGCTCATTAATGCAAATGAGCCAATCACATGGCCGAAACTCAGCGCACTCAGACAAGCTTGGTGAAGAAGACCAAACCGAGCATTAAAATGGGTAAGAAAGGTGATTTAAGTGACTTTGAACATGTCATTGTTCAAATGGTGCCAGACAGACTGGTCTCATTTCAGAATCTGATGATCTTCTGGGATTTTTCCCGCAATACCACCTGTAGGGTTTCTCTGAATGCACAACAAGTTATAACAGAAGCATAAAGCCTACAGCAGCAGAAATCCACATTAGACACCACTCCTGTCTGCTAAGAATAGGACACTGATGCTACAGTTTGATTGGATGGCCAAAACTAAACAATAAAATATTGGAAAAACGTTGCCTGGCCTTCAGACTAGCCCTGCTCTGTCATTTAGACAATAGGATCATAATCTGGCATAAATACGATAAAAGAACAGAACAATGCTGCCTTTTATTAACAGGCTTTAGGCTGTTGGTGATGTAAATACGTGTGGCGAGTTTTGAAAGAAAGTTAACCAAAAGGAACGGACGAAAGATTTGAGACAACTTGTTTCAGATAAAGAAACAACCAATTATAAGATAAATGAAGATTACTGTGAAATCTGAGTTGTGTATAGCTACTCCAGTAGAGTCAGAATAAAAACACGGAGCAGGACATGAGCATAACGGCACTCATTTAAAACACCAAGAATTTTTATTCCATAGAGAAAAGAAAAAAAGGCCTTTTTGGCCCTCCACCTAATGTAAAATGCAGTGATTTCTGTTAAGTAAGGCGCTCCAACCCCCACCCTTTCACTCCCAAAGGCCCATTTCTAGTCAGAAAAACCCTAAACACGTATCTTGAAACGTGTCCAACATTACACTTGTTTCTGGACTTTAATTAATTATTGCAGTTTACAGTTATATGCTGAAAACGTAAAAGCTGGTCCAAAATGCATTCGCTCTGGGGTTTTTTAAAAAAAAAGTACTCTTTTGTAAAAGCATGACACACAAACAAGATCAAATGAGAACTTCCTTGTGTGGTTCTCACTGTAATTACTTGACTGTCAGCAACTGTGGCCGTGCTGCTCTTTTAGTGCAGGCTGCTTAAAATATTCATTTAATGAGTCTTTCAAAGTGCTGGTCAGTCAGAAGCAGCAGGGTAAATAAGAAATGAGACCAGGGAGTGGGGTAAGGAAGAAAGGCAAGGACAAGAACACATGCACAGAGTAGGATAACCCAAGGACAACATTCAGTGAAATCAGTGGGAATCTTCATGCTGAAGGAGAAGAGAGCAGAGGAGAGGAATATATTTGGGTTAATCATCACCAGTGAGGACTTAAGTCTCTAGAGAGGGAGGAGATGTAAAAAGACAGCCACAAAGACAGCCAGATATAACCACTGTTCGGAACACTTGACTCGTAACAGCGTGAGCCCTACCAGCAGGGAAATGTGGAGTGCGGATTGAAAAGTTTCCTATATCCTATAGATCCTACAGAAGCACAGCATCAAAAAGCAGCCTCTGAGTTTAAGGTGAAGCATGACAGTGGTGGTGCAGAGGGGCTGCATGTATATAGAAATCTAAGTGGATTCCTGAGAGTAATATGATTAAGAAAGCATCATTTTTCCAGTGAAACACCTGAACTTGTAATCTCATTACATGACATTACATAATTACATAATGGGTGAAATACTTCCATATAAACAGAGTGTGAATTGACAGAAAAAGTACCAACACATCTTGAATTATTTACATTTGTAATTGCAGCCACAGTGATTTAATTTCACACTCGGGTTTAAGTCTCATCACTTTAGTTGACTATATCTGCCCTGGTTATGTGACATTGACACAAAGCTCACTGGCCAAAACCAGGTCAGATCACTTCTACTGCATTGCAGGTGAACATCAACCCCCCCCCACACATAGACACACAAGCTCTACTCTATCATGATATAATTACATGGCCATACAGGAACCTCTGGCATCCACTGTCCAGAGATCATTGCCAATAAACAAGTCCTATGATTGGCTGGAAGCCTTGCCCAGCAGACCTGCCCTATATTTCCTGTTGACATGTGTTGGATTGGCATTAACCGTTTGTCGGCTGGAAAAGGGAACGGCAGGGTGGGGTGGTGGGAAGATGTAATGAGAAGCCCGACTACTACTCTATTCATAAATTTGAATGTTCAGTATGTGAACCAAGTGTTATGACTACAACAACCAACGAATTGTGACACTTTTTGGTTGTAACTAATAGTTTCTTGATAGAGTTCACTGTCCAGTTGACTGCCTGCATCACAGACACTGCTTCTCTGCTGTGGCTGTCTGAATATCTGCCCGTGTGTGTCTGAGAGAAAGAGAGGGAGAGTCAGATGAGTATCCCGTGCTAAAGGCATGTAGGCGTACAGGCGCATGGCCCTCAGCTGCCAAATGCCTGGGGTGCCTTTGCTCTGATGACCCCACCCTCCCCTCAGCTACCATCTCCATCTGCTGATCCTAAACAAATGCTCCTCTTAAGTTGGTGAAACCAGGGCTGTAAACTCACCGACCCTACCTGCTGCCTGAGAAATATTACAACATCATAAAAGGCCTAAACCAAATCCCACTTATAAAGTAGAGCAGCAAGCCATCAGGGCTGCCATAAAGCGTGAATGCAGCAGCAGCCCATGTCACAAAGGTCATGGAGCTATAAAAAGGACTTTGAGTAGAAGTAGTATGCAGCAGCTCTGTTGGCTCTAGCATAGCCCTGCTATTTCACAGAACATGGCTCATCCATTAGTAAGGAGCGCAGCACGGGCCTCGCGCACCGCTCAGTCAGGTCAGATCAGTCACCCTATCAAATGTTGAAGCAGAGAGGTTACACTGTGCCTCCGAAAAATGGTGGAAAGCAGCTGCACTGCCCGATAAAGCAGCTGGAGTGAAATTATGCAGAAGTCCAATGATAGCATAATCTATAGGAAGTGTATTTATACTCTGTGTGTCTGTGTATGTGTAACTTTAAGTCTCATTAAACCAATCTCTAGAATTAACTGCTAGCCTCTTGCAGTTAATAGAGGCCGGATAATCTAGGATGGGTTTAATCTCATTAAATGCTGCACAATGCAATAAAATTCAGGCAAAAAATGAGATACAATTACTGCCAAGAATAATGTGACACCACAATTAGAACAATGTTTGTTGCAGTCGACTTCTTCTATTTTTTATAGAAACTTACATTTTTATAAAAAGCTTGTCTGCAAAGTTTAATATTAGACTATATTTTCGTTACGGCTTAGTAAGAAAGATAAATACAGACGCTCAGATCATATACCCTCTACCACCCTCGTAATGTTTGAAATCAGAAACACATTTGTAATTTCACTGCACAAAATGTTATGAGTTATGAGTGACAGTAGCAATGCTCATTTGTGTCTGATGCCTGCTGGAGCTGGAAATAGTATGCTGAAATACAATGCTAAAAGTGCATCACAACATCATCTCATTTATTTATTACACTGCACTGTTTCCAAGTGTCTGCCTAGTAAAGGAGATGAACACACATGAGTTTAGCCTGACTATATAAACGTTCAAGTCTAATATTTTCAAACATTATTATTGAATTTTATACCCAGGAGCCTGACCTTTAAGAAGCACATAATCGTGAACACACAAAGCATAATTTTTTTAAATTGTCTGCATACGACACTGATACTTTAACAATGGTTTGGTAAGAAAATTAATATCTACAAACTGACAAGCCGAACTGAGGGTAACATTTGAGAGAGAAGGCAGATAAGGACAGACATTTCAGGATCAAGCCCTCTGCTTCATGCCTGTTAAAATGCCTTTTCTACCACACTCAACATTTTAACACACAATCCGTTGGTGAGCGTATGTCAAGGCAGGGTAACAGTCAAGTGACAGTGTGGTGCCACCTGGCAGGGCCACGGCAGTGGTTCTCCAGTTACGAGGCTGCAAGGGCAGCAGGAGATTTACACTGGGCAAGTGGTGGTGTAAATTGCCACGGCGACCACAGTGGCGCTCGACTGGCTTTGGTGGCAAAGGCATTTAGCCTTGGCTTTGGTTTAAGTCATTACTGGCTGAGTAGCATGTGACATTAATTACGGTGGTTACAGAGTCTATGTTATTCAGAAGAAACAAAATCCCAATATATAGAAAAACCTTTTCACTTTACATTATTATACAAGCCAGTATTTGAAGACTGACTGATTTATTGATACGCCCATATTATCCTGCAACACGTGCAGCAGAATATGAATTGCAGCTAAACAACTAAACAAGATGGTTTCAAGATAAGCAGTGTGTATAGGGTTGGTTATCAGTCATGCCTGCTCTGTTCTCTGCTGTGCTGAGTTTTACTTCTCTTCTGCCCCCCTTTGCTTTTCACATTTGCATGTATGCATGTAGAGGGCAGGAAGATCCCAGAATAGAGCATACAGCTAAATAGAAATTACTGCAGCTGAAAATAGCTTCGACTTTAATGGTCCTGACTGATTTACGTTGAACTCTTTGGACTTGATTTAAAGACAATTACTGCTACGATCTTTCCTGCAGTCATATATAGAGCACACGAACAATACCCTACAATTTGTTCTCCAGGGGTTCCTCAACACAACTCAGAAACAGGGTAGAGTAAAAGGTGAACCAGTGTTGAGCAAACCTACTGTATGACTGTCACATCACCATACTAGTGCTGTTTCTACTGCTGCTAGGGCTTTTCCAGCTCCCTCCATTTCTTGTAAACAGACATGATTTATAAGAAATTAAAAGTTTGTCCTATGAAGTGGCATCTGAGAAGGAAACCAAATTTTGCTGCTACATTTTGCTTATATAACTGTCTACACTACAGGTGGGGGTGTTGACCACTGGGACAGAGAAGCTATGAACAACTTAGTCATTTTTGAATGGTTGCAAATTGTACTTTTAGCTCATGAATTAACAGTTAAATATAGCAACAGTGGTGTTGTTTGAGATCACACTTTGGCTCCCATGGAAGCTGTGATTCAATCGAACTGGATGCATATGTGATATAACACTGAAATAAGTTGTGCTTACCTCTTGCAGATAACTTTTTGGTGTTGATTATTTTAGCAGCATACTCCTGTCCTGTGCACAGCTTAACACATCTGCGCACCACTGAAAATGCTCCCCTGGAAAACACAGAAAAAAAACCCCATTGACTAACATTTCATGCATGGTTATCATAGGACAACTCTATCAGGAAAAAATAACTAACAGCTGAAACAACACTTCATTTCTTTATCATAAATTAACAAGTTGGGACCATTGTTCTCATGCAAATTCTTGAGTGGTTATGGACCTTGAATAATAATGAGCATGGTGAAGGTTTTGCTGAGTGAACAAATTTGCACACAACTTTGCAGAATGAGCATTTTTCAGACTCAGAACATAACAGAACTGATAACACTTTTCATGTTCACCGTGGATACATTAAACACTTTGCTGCTTAGTTAATAAGATCCCATGAGATCTCCAGTTAGGATACAAGTAATGCGAACACATGTGGGATGTCGAAAGGTAAATTGGTAAAATGTAAGAGCTAAACTGGTCTCTCAAACACATTAGATGTAGAGTCACACAGCCCATATTATCAGCCAACACTAGCCCATCACGGATATATCAATATCAATATTATGTTGTTTGATATGCATGAATATGATTTTCTTTTTGTCAGGACATAAAGCTTAAAATTTGTTTCACTTACAACCGTGTTTGTACCTGGAACCCATAGAGACCTGCGGGTGTAGTTTGTGTTCTTATTCCTGCGTTATTCGTTTTATTTCTTTGTTTTGTAATGTACCAAATGTTTTCAGTGGGTGACAGGTCTGGACTATGGGCAGGTCTCCTATTGTGACATTTATGCATGATGTCTTTGCACCTTATGTTTTGTACCTTCAAATACTGTCGGTCTTACTTTAATCCAAAATAAATAAATACATTTAAATAAGCAAAAAGTAAATAAGCAGAATATTCCCCTCAAAACTAATGATAATACATTTTAAAAATGAGAGAGAGCGAAAAAGAGAACGACCATCTGTAGGACAGCACGTCGCCCCAATACCTGAATGTTTTTCACTGCGCCATCACAGATGTTTAGAATTTGTTTTTTCCTTTAGATCCACCAGTATAACTTAACACACAATATATTTGACATACCAGATTCAAAAGTTCAGTATTGTTTAGGCACGTTTAGCCAAACACAAAATCAAATCATAATACCGTACAGTATTGTGTTATTGAAGGGTCTTTACCTTATAATATAAAGTGCCTTTAGACAACTGTTGTTGTGATTTGGCGTTATATAAATCAAATTAAACTGAATGAAAACTGAATTACTGCCAACTCATCTAAACCTTCGTTTTAGTGTCCAAAGCCAAATTTTGCTATTACATCTATGCATTTCTGCAAAATATAACCATTAATTTCAATAAACGCTCAACCAAAAACAAATGTTTGAATATACTTATACAAACCAAGGCTGGACAAGACTACATAGTCCTGTCCAGCCTTGGTTTTGATTTAGTTGTGTGTGAAACAGTCTGATGTTGAATGGTGCCACTAGTCTGCCTTCACACTGGGATAGTTGCAGACAGCCAACAAGGTCAGTGCCAAAGGTGAAGGCCAGCTGACCTGACACTGGGGTAAACTTCTATATAAAAGGCACAAACTCTAGAATACAAAGGGCATTTCATCACTTTTTCAACAACAAGCTGAAGTGCATTTAATGCCCCAACGTCAAGGTCATTACTGTCAATCAGAATTCTGATAAAGAATCAACTCGCCTGAAGCAATACACTCACATACACAAACAAACACATATGCTACTGACACCAAACTCCACAGCTGTGCTTGGAAAGTTCATAATCCATGAGGTAAGTAGCTAACGTCTGGACTAAATATGCTTTAACACACATAGACGGTTAAATGGGGTAACAGGTCATGAATCACGACTGTGGTCTGACATCCAGAAAGTTGACATGGAGAGATTTAAACATGCCTAAAACTATTTTTGAGGGAAAAACACTGGTGCCTGCAGAAGTGAAGAGTTTTGTAACTGGATAAGTCTGAGCTTCTGGTATGCTGTTACAGTCTCCCTCTGATGTGGAAGAATTAAATACTGTGTGGTGTGTAAATCTATACTCTTAGGTTTCAAGCCTAACTGAGACAAACAACAAAAAATGTGTTTAAAAAGTCTTCAAAAGTCTTTCAAAAGCCTTTGTGCTGTTACAGACTTCTTTTTAGCAGCTGTGCAGCAGAAGGACAAACACAAGCTACACTCAAGCCTCTGCGATTGTTCACGATATTGTTCTTCAAGCTGTTTAGCTTGTTATCGGTGTTCTAATTGAGATCAATTCGACCAATTTAAGCAATGATGTGCATTACTTCTGTGCAAGAACAAACACAGAAGCATTATCTAACCAGGAGCCAGTGTTCAGCACACCTCAATCGGTGCTGTGGTGTTTCTATTAAAACAAGCCTGGCAATATTTGTAACAAACGGGCTAAGCACACTAAAGCAAAAGGAGCGAGCTTAAATGTCACAAGTCCTGCTAAGAAAGTGACACCAGCAGAGAGCGAGCACACAATCATTAGCTCTCCTCAGATGTTGGATTAGTATTACAAAGTTCCAGAGAGTGTTACCGTAAGGATGCCAAGCCACTCACACCTGCACTCCTTCCTCCAAGCTTTATGTGCCTGGGTGAATAATAAGATGGGCCTACAGAAAAAGCTTTTTGCATACCGGGGGGGTGCAGCTTAGTCCCTCATGCACCCAGAGCTTCAAAGCCGGTAGTTTCTGGTAGAAGTTGAGATTTATCTCAACACAGCGAAACCAATGCATTTGATAAGTTACAGTCTTTATAATGTCTTTTTTTTTTTTCCAAATCAACAGCCGGCACCATAGAATGAAATCTCATAGGGTTCAGGAGGCATTGGAGCTACGCTGGCATAATGATCCCTGCGAACAGTATTTATTACTTATGGGATGAAAAGAGAATGGGAGGGATGCAGTGTTGTAAATTAGTCTGAGCCCCGTGTCTTCTACAGCAGTCAGTCACATAGACGATGACTCTGTCTATTTATGCTCGCTCAATAACAATAACCCACCAAGGAAACAGGACTTGAGTATATACACTCCCCTCCTGTAAGTGAAGACTCTGAAGAATTCATAGATTGCACTTCACTATGGATGGCAGCCGTGGCTAGATTAGCTCCACGGCAGTTGCAGTGCATGAAATTGAAATGGCGACCTAGATTCATGACTTCAAAATATTCATATAAACTAATCACTAATTTACCTCTCTGCTACAAGTCCCTGCATTAAGTGTGCTTTGTAAAACCCATCATCACCACAATATGGTTAAACACCAGATATGCTTTTTATCTAACTTTCTGTTTCTCATAATCAATCACAGATAACTGTGGTTTTTTTGGGTGGGTTTTAAGTTAGCAAGGAGTGAATGTAAATATTCAAAATCAAAGGCTTCTAGTGACGCATCTTTTCAGTTCCTTTTATTAATCCTTCAATGAATCTTGACATATTTGCATATTAGGTGCGTATTTTACCAGCCTTTGAAGAGAGATATCAAATGAGCTGTCACAAACACCTGTTAACACTCCAAATGTACAAAATAGTACTATGCCGTCATGTTTAAAAAGTCTCTCCGCACCTATGAATAATCCTGCTATCTTTCCACAGGCCTGTAAATAATATAAATCTAGAACAACGCTTAATAGATTAAAAGAATACTTTAACATGGCTCGTTTTCCCATTGTTTTTAAATAGATTAAAGATTCAAGCCAACAAAGTCCAAGAAAAACACGATTTCCATGTTTATACATCATCATGCAACAGCTAATAAAACTTAAAGAAAAATATCTTTCATTATATAATCTTTGGAACACGGAGGTGGATTACATTAGAGCAGGGACGTCAAACTCATTTTACATCGAGGGCCACATATAGCCCACTTTGATCGTAAGTGGGCCAGACCAGTGAAACTCCCCTTTCTCTCTGTGTAAAGAAGATTAACTAAACATTTATTCACTGAGAGATCTTAACATAAGAAAACGAAGTGCAATTTCAACAGCACATCTCAATTTTTCCAACATCATAAAGAAATGCTGCTGTAGTAAATTAAATAAATCTGTCAGCACCACTTAAATGAAAGTAATGCAGTTTTTTTTTTGTTTTTACCTGTGGATCTATTGTAAAAAAAATAAAAATTGAAGTCTTTGTCCGACCAATTCTGGTCCCCAGGCCTTATGTTCGACAGCCCTGCACTAGGGTCTTTTCCAGTGTTCCTCAATGACAGCATAGTTCAGTCTCTATTCTGTCAGAGCCACAAAGCTAACACAACATTAACTGCACTTCACTCCAGATAACTTGGCTGTTTCTGTGTTCTCATTGAAGTTGTCATCACTGTGGTGGCTGAATAAACAGCATTAGGCAAATCAAGCTAGCAGTACATAACGAGTGATATGAATGATAATCAAATAATGCCAGTACAAGATGCATGACGGGCTGCAGCAACAAAGTAAACAATAGACACAGAAGGATGATTTGAAATTGTCCCCTTTACTCCTTTGCCCCGTGCCAAGTGTAGATCACCTACTGTAATGAAATCACCAAAAGTTTTGTTTGCCTCTATATTAATTTTTTTTTTTATCTCTCATAATCATCGTGATTAAATTGTGATTATTTCAAATGAGTACTGATTAACCAAATTGAATCCCTTCAGCCTTCAGAACTGCCTTAATTCTTGGTGGCATAGATTAGACAAGGTGGTGGAAACAGTCCTCAGAGATTTTGGTCACGTTGGCATCACAGTTGGACATCAATGATGCAAATCCCCCGCTCCACCACATCCCAATGGAGCTATCTTGGATTCTGATCTGGTGGCTGTGGAGGCCATTTGACCACACTCAGCTCATCGTCACATTCAAGAAAGCAGTTTGAAATTATCTGAGCTGCACTGACATGATGCACCATCCTGCTGGAAGCAGCTGTCAGAAGATGGGTACACTGTGGTCCCAGAGTGGTGGAAGTGGTCAGCAACAATACTCAGATAGCCTGTGGCATTTAAAGGATGCTCAGATGGTAGTAAGGTGCCCAGAGTATGCCAAGAAAATATGCCCCTGCTTCATTACACAATTACTGAACTGTTAATATGAGTCGGGATGGATCCATGCTTCCATGTTGTTTACACCAAATTCTAAACCTAACGTCTGAATGTTGCAAGAGAAACTGAGACTCATCAGACCAGCCAGAAGTTTTCCAGTCAGTTGTGAACTGTAGCCTCAGTTTCCTCTTCTTAGCTGGTTAGACTGGAACTCTGTGTCTGCCCATCTACTTCGAGTCCAACATGTTGTGCGTTCCAAGGTTCAGAGGTTGTAACAAGCGGTCATTTGAGTTGCTGTAGCCTTTCTGTCAACTCAAAGGCACTTGTTCATTCTCTTCTGCCCTCAGGCATCAACAAAGCATTTTCATCCAGAGGAATCCCGTTCACTAGATATTTTCTCTTATTCGGACCATCTTCTGTAAACCCTAGAGGTGACTTTGCCCAGTTTCAACTTCAAGTGTAATTCAAGTAGCTGCCATGTGATTGGCTGATTAAACATTTGGGTTAACAAGCAGGTGAACAAGTGTACCTAACAAAGTGGCTGGTGTGTAGAATTCCAATTAAATACGAAAATATAACAAAATTTATACATAACAACTAAACTAAACATGCTTCTGGGAAGACGCAACAGCCACTGCTGGACAGGAAAGTGTGTGTTGGATTATTAAATGACTAGAAAATGAGAGCATCGATGCAAACCAACTAATTTTTATTTTTTTTAAATCACGAATAATTCGTTTTTTATAATTACGGGACACCACAACCATAACTTAAAATAACATTTAATGAACTGCCCAGCCCTTTTAAGGGCTACACACTACACACCGTGTGTCATGTTCAAAGATTAGGTTCAGACATATTACATACCTATTCCCTTCCCTCCATCTGTTATTATACACAGAAGTATTTAGTTACACAAATAATGAAACACTACGAGTTCAGTTTCCGTATTTTGTACTTTTAATTCCCTATGGTATCAAAACTTTCCACAACAACAATAGTACCTAGAATATATTTTGCATATGCACTGCCATATGATTGTTTTCTTCCTACAGTATGATAAAGTATGATTCCTATGGTTTTGACAGATCGGTTTTTATCGGATGGATTTTTTTTTTTTTTTTTTGCTTGCTGCTGCACTGCAGAATATCTTATCTGGTGTAATCTGCCACCATAGTGCTGCAAAAAAATGTCTTCTAGGGGAAAAAAGGCTGTTTGTTCATATAAAGGTTAGTAAAGCACACACACTTCAAACCAATGCAATAAAACAGGACAAAATGGTCAATCGAGATGCAGCCTTAAAGGGTTTTTTGATCGGATATTTATTGCATAGCTTTGCAGAAGACAGGAATGCCCGCAACTGTCATATGTGAAACCCTTAGTTTTTCTCTGTAAACTTTGACTCTTCGTCTTCAAAAAAGAAAAAAAAGCGTGCAACTGCACTTTCCATAAACCGCAGATGTCTTCTTTTCATCTGTGGTTCAAATGGTTACACCACAGGACTCTGCTGACACCCCACGTTTCTCCGTGTTTCACCGTGAAACGAGCGAACTCGTCAAAAACATCGGCAACGTTTTTGCAAATATTGTTGCCTCTGACGTCCGTTTCTCGTGATGATCAGGAAACAAACAAAACACTTGGTGAGCTTAAACAGAGGCGTGGGGGGGGGGTACTTTGAGAGCTGTCATCCCCGAAAAGGCGCACACACACGCGCACCATCAGAGCGCGCACACGCTCAGCACTGCTGGCCTGCAGACTCGCTCAGCTCTGCACTGCCTGGAAACCTGCCCTCCTCCTACATTTCAACTACACTACACTTTCTAGCAGACAGCTGTACCGCAAACATGCACAACTAAAATAATAAATACGTCAATTTTGACAGAGAAACAGCGACAGATACTCACTTCCCCAGCTCCTCGTACAGCTGATATTCATCTGTGAATCGCGTACAGGTTGTCGTGGCCATGTCTCTCCCCTGTCTCTCGCTTCTTCTTGTTAATGAACTCCGAAGATTCGCGGTTAGTTCGGGCTGAATGTGCGTAAAAAAAGTGCAGGTCCGCCCAACAGCGAGACGGCCGGTGGAGCGGAGAAGTGCCTTTTAGGAGGCGCCGAGTGACGGAGGGTTTGATATAAAGAGCCGAGGAAGCCTGGGTGGGTGTTCACTCTATCTCTCTTTCTCTCTCCCTCCCTCTCTCTGCACTATCTGACAGCTACCGCGCTCTGCGCTCCTATAAACAAGCCAGCTGAGCTACGACAAACCACTTCCTTTTGCGATTTTCACAATAAAAGCTTTGACACTGTCTACGTTCAAAAAAGAAAAAGTTGCAACCTTTGGTTTTCTATTCAACGGCCATTTATTTAGCCTAAGCACTGCCTTAGCATTTTTCCCCTGACCAGCCAACTAAGTGCATAAAGTTGGTTTTATATACATTTTTTAAACAAGATGCCAGTTTATGCAATGGTAAGAACATACTGACTGGAGTATTTGCATGAGTTAAATGAAATTATACTCAGCTATATTTCAATTCAGTTCAAATCAGTTTTATTCATACAGCGCCAAATCACAACAACAGCTGCCTCAAGGAGCTTTATATTGTAAGGTAGACCCTACAATAATACATACAGAGAAAAACCCAACAATCATATGACCCCCTGTGAGCAAGCACTTTGGCTACAGTGTCACAATGTTTTGTTTTGGGGTTTTTTTTTGTCTCTGCTGCTGTTTGGAAGCAGTCTGGCAGAGATTTTAAATGTCCCATATTTGGGCACCAGTTTAGCTCACTGGTTGAGCAGGTACTCATATGTCCTATAGTTAAAACAAGGTTGAAGTTTGACCCCAGTTCTTTGCTGTGTCTCTTCCCCTGCACTCTGTTCCCTGTCTAGTCTTCACTGCTAACCTGTCTATAAAGGGAAAAAATGCTCTACTGCTACTTCCTGTGTCCCTTCACCCTCAGAGGAGAACATTACATTTGGGTTTTCTGCACCTTATTTACCTCATCATTCTGCTCTGCATAGACCTGTTGCAGACAGGACCATAGGGCTCAGGTGGTTATGTCACCAGTACCACAGAAACAATTAAATTGTTTATGTTAATGCTGTTCATAATGTTATTTATGAAGACCCTAAAATACTACAGTTCTTCCTGGTGTGCAGGAAGAACTCCCTTTTAACAGGAAGACTCCTTCGGATGGACCGAAGAGTCAGGAAGGGGTATCGTTTTGTGGTTGTGTCTGTTTGAGTAGGTATTTTTCCAACATACTCCCATGCAGTTCTCTGAAAACACAACAGTGTGTAGTGCTGTTTGTAGTCTGAATACTTATTTGTTGAAAGGTGGAACCAGAGCAGGGAGAGGAATCAGGCTTTCCCCCATTCCAGAGTCCTCCGTGATTGGAGGAAACATGAAAAAACATCAAAGATAGACAAAAAAAAATACAGTAATCCATTGTTTTAACAATCAGTTTCTGTGGCTGATGGACCAACAACAGAACAAGAGAGACAGCAAGACCAGTTGTACCATATACTTTGGACACAGCCTCCATCTGGCAACAAATGCTCTCTGCAGGCGATCAAACTATCCTCAGCTGCCTGTCAATATAATGCCAACAGAGAACCGTGTTCAGCACCCATATATGTAACCAGCTGAGGGCGAGGGGAAAAAGAATATAAAGTAGAATAGCAAAGAGACAGGAAAGAAAAATTAAAGGATGTTTTACACTAACCTGGTTCACCTCTAATAAGCTTATATAGAAAAAAAAGGTCTAATCTTAAAAGTAGAGAGGGTCTGTCTTTTTCCCGACCCCAAACTCGGAGCTGGATCCAGAGGAGAGGTGAAGGCTCTGTCTTCTGTTCTATTTTTGGAAACTCTAGGAGCCACATGTAAGTCTGCAGTGCAAGAGCAAAGAGCACTGTTAGGATAAATTGGCACGATGTGAAAAGAAGGATTTAAAAGGGAGAAAATGAAGAGAAGCTAAAATGGGAGAACCATGACTTCTCTTTCCAGTGTTTGTTAGCACTCTTTCAGCAGCATTTTCAATCAGCTAAAAGCTTTTTAGAAGTTAACATATTTTTTGATTCCTACACATTTTCCAAGCTGATGATTCCTATTGGTATATTACCACAAGTGGAAGATTCCAGTCGGTGGAAAAGCACAAATGGAAAATATCACTAGCAAACAGCCATTGTTTCCATGAAATGGGTTGTATGCTGAAATTAATTTTTTTCATGTTATTTTACAGTCTTATGAGAATAAAAGCATTTTAGCTATTTGAAAAAGAAGAGTGCCCAGAGTTATTTGGTTTTTAAACATTGCTACTGACTATTGACTGGTTCACCTAAAATATTAAAGCTCACCCGAAAAGTGGGATAAGCCTGGCTAAGGGCTAGGTTATATAACCACATGGACCCTTTTCCAGCAGGAAGAACTGATCAGAAATTCATTACTTACAAAAAATAATTTTGAAGCTTTTTGAAAAAACGTGCATTATAGTGAGAAAATAAGAGAAAATAAACCACTCCTCTCACCATCGCTTTGGTCATGCCACCACATCAGGACTATTTTTTAGCTGCATGCAAGTTGACAGAAAACAGAGCTGGGTAGCATATAATTTATCCTTAAATCTAATAATTTTATTCATGCACCTTTGTGAAGATTAGTAATTAAATGTCATAGTTCACCTATCTCATCCAAATGAGTGCATCCGTCTTCATTTTCGTCTAAGAAACGATGTTGGATTCTATTATGAAAACAGCAATAATGAATTTCCGGTCTGGTGCTGATCAGCTCGGCTAAATTGACGCAGTCAACTTGAGTTGGTTCGCGGCTTCCTGAGCGGCAGCGGAGCTTCGACTCTTTGTCGCTCTCTGGTGGACAAACAGTCCAACGGCAAGCGCGACAACGTAATCGAACACACCTCCCGCCAGCTTGGTGCGTATTTCCAAATAGGGGCAAATATGAGAGAGCTTGTTTCTGCTGTCAAAACGTGCCGCTATGTGTGCAGTAAATAGAAGTTTTCTCTTCAAGTTTGAGGAAGAGTTACATCAGCATCTTCGTGACTTCCTCAAAACAACAAATATGTGTCAAGTAATGGACACAGCTGTGCAGGAAATACAATAAAAAACTCTCATTAAGTATGAAAAAGTGCAAAACTGTATTTAATACTGGTTACTTTAATGTTAAGCGTATGTAAAAGTACTTTTACTAAAGTGTTCTACCTCAGTATATATTTCATAGCTTATTTCTAAAGCGCAGTTTTGGCACTTTAACTTAGGTAAAGGATCTGAATACCTTCTTTACCACCTTGTTCTTATTTTAAATTTTGTTACTTATTTGTGAGGATTCAGATTATCCACAGCTTTTGTCCCTCATCACCGTCTGGACTCTCCCAAGAAGTCAAGTTTCCTTTCAGATAGTGTTGGACAATGACTGGTTGCAGTTTAACCTCTATTCCTGAGGTCCACATCCTCTTTAGTGAAAATGGTTTCACTGATCTGAGCTCTACCCAAAATGCGTGAAAAGCCTACACACTGCCAATAAGAACTACAGACATCAACTCAGCAGTTAGCAGATTTCTTGGAAGGACACGCTGACTAATAATGAATGTTGAATGTTCTATCTGCGTCTTTTCTTAATGAGCTGGACTCAAGACCTGGACAGAGGACATTGTGAAATTGGCCGGCAAAGCCTGAAATGGGCTAGAACAGAAACAAATACTCTTCAGAGAAATGCACACAAAAAAATAACTGTGATTAATCGTGAGAATCTGGGAGGATAAGAAGGTAACAAGATCTAAAAATAAAAGCTGTGAGATCAGAGACACGAGGACTAAGAATGAGACAGAGTTTGATGCAGGCCCAGATGGCTGCTGGTAATCAGATTACCTCTGAAAGAAACCATTCGCTGCAGGACAAATAATATTACAGCACCGACCTTTTAAACTCTGTCGTTATGAGATCAAATCTTCATAGGTTATTTAAAAATAAGCACCTCTTTCTACTTAAGCACTTCTGTCAATAAAACCTTTCCTCACAAGAAGAGATCACAAGAGGTGTTGGTCTGAAATAAGTAATCTCAGATATGTCAAAGAATGACTCGTGGACGAGGTAAATTTACAGTTCCCAAAATATACGAAGACAATACCTTCAGTAATTCTATGACACTGTGTAGTTTCACCCAAATCACAAGGTTTATATTCGCTGTTTTTTGAGAAAACTCCGTTGTTCTCGTATTCTTTGCAGTGACACCACCATGGTTTGTTGGTCCAATGCACTTTATGAAAGAAACCGGAAACATTTTTTTTTACATATTTTCTGTTGAGAGCCAATGAGCAATTGTTGGCATTTAGCTCAAAGCACCCAGGGCTCAACTACAACCTCACAGAGTGTGTCAAACTACACGTGCCCCCCGCAGCCCCTCGCCCATGCTTCAGCAACATGCTTGAGTGTTACTTGTAGCAACATAATTGCTGTGAATTAATGTTATCAGCCACGTGGACTCATTAGACAGTTGCCCCTTTGGCCACAAATGAATCTGCTGCTGCAAGATGACACCTGAAACTTCCCTTCTTGACTGAGTTCATTTATTTATTGGACATATTTCTCACACAGAAACACATTCTGGGCATCGCACACACACTGAGACACACGTACACAAAAATCTCAGGCAAAGATTAGAGACTTTCCATGATAGAGGAATAAATGAACAGTCCATTCAAAACAAAAGAAGTCACACAAACATAAATAATATCACAGCAGTCCTTGAACAGATCAAATATTGCATCATTTGAAATGTCTCCATGCATTCCTTATATATCTGACTATAGACTTTCCTCATTACTCGATTACATTACTGTATGAGAGCTTTGTTCCTCCTGTGGTTGTTGTTTGAGGTGGATACTCTGTGGTTTCGACTTGTGTTAAAGACATTGTATCCACATCTGTAAATATGTGTGTGTGTCACTGCAGCAGGCGGACAGAGTTGACGTGGAGATGGTAGAGGAAGTCTGCGTAGGACGCGCCTCCATTGGGGCTCTTGTCTTCCACAAGGTGGCGCTGCAGGGCCTCCTCGCAGCTGTCGCCCTGCTTTACCACCCACAGCTGAAAAAGAACGATACGCAGGAGGTTACGCTTTCGAAAGCGTCTCCGGTCTTAAGTCGTGCTAATCTGTACACAGCTGCATTACATATACACACCAAGACTCAAAACACGAGTTTCTGCAGCTAACCCCGTCTGTGTCTATGACCTGAAATCACAGGTTGCTGCTGTGAAGAAGGCATCGGGCTCTGCAGGGAAACTCTCTTGCAAGATTTCAGCTTGCAGCTGATACATAACTCACCTTCTCCAGAGGAGTTTACGTTCCAGATAATAAATAAGCCCCTACAAAACTGTTGCCTACTGACTGATTCTGTACAAAACAGTATCACCATTCCTGAAAGAAGCAGTGTATCTCAGCGTGCAGGTTTATAGCTCAAATGAGAGCTGGGAACAGATGTGGACTGAACTCGCTGAGATGACAGCAGATGTGTAACATAAGGTCATCATACTGGGGTGATGCTGTCTAAACAAATAAACTCAGCCTTCAGCTGCAGTTGACACAGCCGCTCACCTTGCGGGTGCACGATGCCCCTGAGTTCAGTGTGTTGATCAGGGATCGGATACCGATGGACAGATGGTTTTCCAGAACTGGCAGCTTGGTCTGGAGGAAAAAAACGGAACAAAAATTAAAAAGAAACACCTGAAAAAGATTTTTTTAAAAAGAACTTCTCATTCCACATAAACTGCTTTGTGGATGAAATTTTCATAGGTGTGTTTTTATAGCACTTTGTTACAAACAAAAGCAATCATCACTTTATGTACTTAACATCTTTTTTTTTTACCTTCTTTTTTTTTTTTTACTAAAAGAGCTGAGTTTTAACAGTTTTATGGGCTTTTGTGTTTTGTTTTTTTACTCTGGACACTTTTGACTAACATCTACTGACTCAACAGAGTAGGACAGTTAAACTCCCTCCCCCACACACACATATTAAAATGATTACAGAATGATGGCCTTACTGTTTGTTAATTCAGTCATGTAAACTGGCTGAATGTTGAAATATGACCTACAGGCTCACTAACACTGATGGTGAGCTAGTGCACCTTTAAATAAACAAGCAGGACTGTCAGAAACAGTGCTCGCAGCATCAGTGGTCTATCTTACTCCTAACATCCAACATGACACTGCTGAATCCTCCCTCAAGGTCCTGGAGTGCATCTGTGGCCACTAAGTTTTATAGAGTGAAGCAGCTGCACCCTGGTGTGGACGACGCTCATGCTTCAGGATTTCCTCCAGAAGAAACGAGCTCGCAGGGTCAGGAAACTTAGGTAGTTCTTTGGTGGAGTCCAGACAAGTTCAATTATCAGAGAAGACACTAAATCATACATTTAACGTTACAGCTGGGCCCTTCTGTGTGGAGTTTTTTCGACTTGTTTTCTCTGTCATGTGATTCGATAACTCTGAATTGACGGGAAAGTATACGTTTAAAGAGACTGAGCTCATGGCTCATTGTTAGTCAGTGGTGATAGTCTCGGTTGTTATGCAGCTGTACTGTTCAAAAGGCTGTGAAACCTGCAGTCAGCTGAGACTGAAGAAGTCACTCGGATGAGTGAAAGCGCTGCAGATGAACAGAATCAACTTTCCTGGGTTTTACTCGGATTATTGAGCGTGCATCCCAACCCAGATGATTATGCTGTGAGCTCTGGTTAGACAAGCATTCATGTTACACTGAATGGCATTTGTTTCTGGAGTAATCTCTGATGATCAGACGAGCTTCCAGTTTAAGTGCATTTAGTTTCTTTTTTAACATGGTGGCTGCTTTGCTTTAATGGCCTCCATGGTCACAATGGGCTAAAAAATCTCTGCTTTATGTGCTGCTTCACCAGTAAGTGACCACACGGTGTGCATGTCTATTCATCTTCTCTGCGCTCTTATAACAGATACCCCATTCTTCACTCTCTGTGAGGTGTTTGCAGGATTAGAAAGCTGCACGCTCAGAGGTTTTTGACTTGTGATCACCTCCATGGGAGAAATATTGCCCGACTATAAAACTAGCTGAAATGTTGACGGTAATTTTGGTGTCCAGGGGGGCAGCAGAGCGAGGGTTCAGCGGTCAGAATGAAATAAAAGTGAAGATGTAAAACTGAAAAAACATTGCCTCTGCAGCAACCTCTCTTGATACATTTAATTTCACTCAAATAAGCAGCCAGCTTCAGTCCCTTTAGTTCATGTTTGCCTGTTTAGGCACGACGACTGCAGCGCTTTAGTCTCTGCTGTAACTGCAGAAAATAAATCATTCATCCGATTCATGTGGTGTTGACGTGGGAAGCGACCGTACGGTGTGCCTCTTATCTTTTATCTCCATGCCCTCATAAATGCGTAGTGTTTTCTGTGTATATGTTATTGTAATGAAGTTGTTTTTGAAAATGTAATGTTATTAAATATGACTCATTTTAATGAGTACATCAAAAATGAGAGCAGAAATTACATTATGGTAGACCTCTGTGACCCTTTCCATCAAAATAACAAAGCTCTGCTCTTTAAATCAGTTATTATAGTGATCACATTTTATTTACAGTAAAGTAATAAATATATTTATCATCATAAAGAAAGAAAATTTAAATACCACTAAAATCTGACATGATCTCTTCTATGCATCCATATCTTTCCTCAATCCTCACCTCTCCAGAGGGCAGGGATGAAAAACAGCTGGTGTTGAAGAGCTCAACCAGTGTGCATGCTGGGACTTGGGTGCCCACCCATAGCAGCAGCGTGAGGGGTGTATGAACCAAATAAAGACCTCTGGGCTCCAGGCTAGCTGCAGAGCAGCGCAGTGCCTCCTCTGGTTTTGGAAGGTTGGAGCCGTCAGTTGATAAAGGCTGCAGGTGAAGGAGGAGTGAAAAGCTGAATTTAGTAAAAGTCTTCAAAGCTCAAAATGGCACAAGTGGAACTGTCCAACAGTGCAAAGGCTAAGCTAATGGTGACTATTTAAAGGGAGCAATCACTTACTAAATACATAGCGTTGCTATTTTAAGCGCAATCTCTATGCTGACTTGTTCAATGGAAAAAGAGGTCACAGTTCAGCACTAATGCAGGGCTGGAGAAATACTAGTTTGTCAATGACTCATCAGCACCGTGGCCTGTGCTGCCGGGCTGTGACTGCACTCTGTTCTTAAAATAGACAATAGTTTGCTACATGAAACAGGAAATCAATCCTTTCTCTTTCTCCTTTCGTTTTATGAGTGAGAAACTAAACTGTGCGGCCAGTTTTTCTGCTGAAACCTCACTGCATTTAAATATATATTTAAATTTAAAAATCACGGTAATGATACAATTAAAAATAAATAATTTTTAATACAGCTCGTGATGCTTATTGTACCATAAGAATAAGGAGTTTCTTCTTGCTTTTAGAATATCTCATCACGACATGTGAGCATAAATTCTAACCATTTCTCTCTGCTTCATCAGAATGAGCATCTGACACTATTTTAAAGTTACTTTATCGCACACAATACTTGATAGCTGGCTGAAGGCAGTTTTATTTACTGTAAACAGGCAATTTGGTAATCTCTCTCCTGTTCTTTAGCTAAAGTGTGCACAACTTTATCCTGACATATTAGTGTCACTCTGATCAAGAACACCCTTATTTAACAGAAAAAGACATGTAAGACAAACCCCCACGTGTTGATGGCACTGACCAGAGGCAGCAGCAGAGGGTAGAAGTGTGTGGCAGTGCTGCAGGTGTCCATGCGCAGCACCTGGCAGCGCTGCTGCAGGCGCTGATGGATGGAGCTCCTCAAGCCTGGCAGCAGCACTTCACTCTTCCTCAGGCTGTTGATGTAAACAGGAAGAGCTCGCAGATACTGAGGAAGAACCAGCTACAGGACGCACACAGTGCAGTACGTATGGTCAGCAAGATTCAAAACAATTCAACTATGTGCAATATAATAAAACCACAAACAGCGGCATTGACGTACATGTGTACGCAATGTTCTCACCTGCCCCGCGGACACTGAAGCAGAGCAGCAGTGTTTTCGATAGGACGCCAGCGCTTCCGTAAGCTCCGTCTGCAGCTCCTCCCTCAGCTCCTGCAGGGGGCGCTCCTGTACTGCACAGTACACTGACCAGACAGAACGAAGGCATCATTTGAATATCATTTGGTAGCTTCAGATGTCAATATTTATGAGGATGTTGATGCCTTTATTAAAAGAAGAGAAGACAACATCAATACCTCAGAATCTTTACATCAAGCTTCATTCAGATCTCAGTGTAAATGCCGTCACTTAACAGGGGCGAGTGAATAATTTTACCAAGATGCCACATGAGAGACTGTAAAGCTGCACCAATAAGCTTTTAAAGTGATAAACTTACTATTGCACAGACTTACAAAACCCCCCAAATAAAACTGGCAAACAGATGATTAATAGCACGAGATAGGTGGTTTTAATGACATCATATTTTTATTAATAATAATAATATTAAGGATAATTGTATATTGATTCATTTCAGGTTTTCATGCAATTTTCATTATGTTTAGGATTGACTCCCCTAAATATTTACCTAAATATTTTAGTATTTGAATATTTGTTCACTTTAAGGATTTAGTTATTTATTCGTCTTAAAAAGCAGAAAGCTGTTTAATCTGACTTTCGTTTCCTTGGTGTTGCTCTCTGCTCCTGTTCTGTTTATCGAGTGACAGAAGGCTGCAGCTCTCTGAGTCTTCATATTACATGAAAGTAGAGCTGAAATCCCAGCAGGACTCCTTCCTTTAACTTGTGTGTAGGTAGATTTTGTCACATAATATAATTTATATTGTTATAAAGTTAGAAAAGATCAGAGACAGCTCTAATAGTCTACCCGTGAACAGTGCAAACTCCTTACTCTTCTTGCAGTAGAAGGTGAGTAGTGTTTGGGCCTGGTAGTGACGAAAGGTGTCCTGTAGCTGACGTGAGCACCGCAGGGTCAGAGTGTGAACCCTGGTCCTCCGGTCTCCTGTCTGGAGGGTGTAAGATAAAACAACCTGACACACAGGACAA